CCCATGTCCTATCAGTTCAGCATGATGACTCATTCACGCCATCGCAATATGTTTACGAGTGATGTTTTCCCACATTTCAAATTCCATTGCTCCACATGACCTCTCCGATTCCCTATTGACTCAACCATAGCCCTACCCTCCTGCCCCATTCGCTAGCAGTACTTATTCACTTCGTTCAATCATATCCGCGACTTCTTCCAATATTCACCATTGAAAAAGTCACACAATCTCTGTAATATAGCTATCTCAAAAAATACATGCTCTGTGTAAGTCCATTTTCTCCAGTTCTGCTCTCTAGATCTGGATATTGTGTAAACTTCAATAGTGGTACTAGGGGGTGCGATAGACTTACCTCCACGTGGTGCACCCGGGCAACGTATTCGCATATGGCAAAAAAGTCTATTAACCGGCAGTTGACTTCTGACTTCATATTGTCATGACCCCACTGTATGTCATTTCGACCACTTTCACCGTACTAATCTTACCTTTTCTCTGCCTTTGTGTCTGTTTGTCTGTCTCTTTAACATCATCGATTCACTCTTCTGTTCCCCCTATCCACTTTTTCCCACTTTGATGTTCCTCCCCTCTGTGAAGCCCGAAGTCAGCTAAGGGGCTAATGATAAGTGTCGTAAAGCCCGCCATTTTAAATAGATAAATATTGGTACTAGTGAAGGGTATATCTTTTGAGATAAATTCAACATTAAACACTTCCGTAATTGCAAGGAATTGTAAATTTTGTTTAACGTAGTAAGCATTCTATGTAGTTTATTAGTCTTGGATACTAATTAACCACTGATTATGTAGGATTACATGATTGTTGGGCTATTATGAATAATAAATCCTAAGCTCATTCTTTTCAGTTTTAAATTCATAACCCCGCAATCGGTAATTGCTCTATAGAAACTTATCAAGTCATCCCTCCCGAAAAAAGTTCCAGCATTGCACCTGCAATACAAATTTTTCGAGTCCTTACCTGCATTCTCTGCTTGTGATGCCTTGCAATTAGTCAAATCAATGGCGGTGTTAGGATTACACCAGCCTCATTGAAAAACCTTCGTGTTAACAGTCGATATTGAGTGTGCTCTAAGGCCCCCCCCCACCCCCTTGATTGTTCGCTTCACTTGAAAGAATAATTCTCCAATATAACTACTGACCCACACAGTCCTAAACAGCCTATTCACCACCCGACCCCCCCACCCCCGGTTTGGCTCCTGTGGTTTCGGGCTATTCGCAAAAAAAAATTTTGAGCGTCAGAAAGCCCTTCTTCTCCGCCCCCTATAATTTGAATGAAAATTGCGATAAGCCATAAAAGTGATGACTGAACCTGGGCTCTAGATCTCTACCCCACAATATGTTAACCGAGATCTACTCCATAATAATTACTGTAGGATTAGCAGTAGAGGAGTTTAAAAGAAAAAAAGAGCCTACATGTAAAGATATGGTTGACGACATCAATAGCCTGGCAGACATAATCGCATACAATTTCATTGCTATGATGCAGTCCGAAGTGCGAAAGGAAGTCCAGGTAGAAGATCTAAGAGTAAGAAGAGAGAAAATAGATACTCAAACCCCAATGCTCCAGAGGAAATATTACCGTTGACAGAAACTCACCACACTTTCAATATTACCGCCCTTGACGAGAGTGTCCTGTCCATAATCAAGAAGTAATTTGCAGGCTGGAACGCCTCGTGTCATTAGCGCATTCAGTGAACGAGGATATGTCTAGTAATAACGAGAGATATGAAAAGGGACTATTAAAAAATGCGACAAAATTGGTCAAAGATAACGAGGTGATCGAGATCAAGAAATGATCTTGATTATGTAAGGAAGTTTACCTATTAATGCTTGGGAAAAAATGTGAGTCATACTCCAATTGGATGCACTCAAAACCACCAACACTGATAGCCAGTATTATCTTTATAGTGCCTAGCTGAGTTTGCAAAAGTTAATGATTGCAAATAGGATGAAATGTTGAGCTATACGCTATATACATTCCACCAATTACAAAGCACTTAAACAAAGTACCACTAGAGGGATGGATGAATTCTGAACTCAATAATAGTGGCACGTTCTATGTGAGTGAAAGAGGATAAGTTTAGAAGCACGCTACTATGAAATAGTCAAATTTCATATTTAGTCACCACCAATTAGACGAATAACAGCACTCAGATTTTGAAGTAAGTCAATTGGACTTGTATCTCCAACAGTTCTCTAACTTCGCGACTGACTTCAACTATTCTAATAAAGTGGAGAGCCAAAAAGAAACCGAAATAAGCTTATATGAAATCTTATATCTAGGCTTGATTGAACTCCACCGTACCTATAACTCGTCCTCTTAGTTTGAGGGCGATCAAACCTTCAAAGTTCCCTTAATCGGACATTTTCAAGATGCCTCATTTCAGTAGTATAGAATACGCCCTGATAGAGGTACTCTGAGTTCAGTTATGGTCTTAAAGTAAGAGAGAGAGAGAGTAGATTATTTGCCTTAAACAAAACGAACTAACAGGGACTTAGAGTTTAAACGAGAATCAAATATGATTAAATTCTTCGATACAAAATCATCCATTTCCCATAACTGTCCAGTGAAAGAAGATCTTTAGGATATACATCGCAATCTCGTATCAGTATAATGAGGCGATAAACGCTCCCAACGCAAGAGTCTACTGAAACTAGATCAAAGAGGCTCAATAATAACAATCCCCCCCACATCAAGAAGAATGTTGGTAAGGGAACATGGCAATTAGCTGAGGCCATCTATGGTCCCTATAACCTACAAAGATTATAGTGTAGGGCAGTTAACTCACTTGAGCAAAGATAGCACCGGCAAGGGTGTTATCGAAAGTCAAGAGATTTTGAATTAGGAAACAGACAGAGTTTTCCACTTCACGAAGATTTGTCACATCAGAATCGAGAGTCTAAAAAACAACAGAAAAAATTTATTCCAGTTTTCATTTCCTTCGTAGAAAGGGCATTATTCGCTTCTCTTTCCACATATAAACGTGACTGCAACTCGGGGCAATCGATTAATAAGAACCTTCAGTAGCCAACTTAGGGATGTTTTAAGTTTTATACGCGGAAAGGATAATCAAAAAGGATACAAGTCAGAATGCCACCAACAAGGCTAATCCCGAATTTTACGCCAAGCCCTTGTGAAGGCAACAAAATTCTCAACCCCTCCCCAACCCCATAGAGGGAATTTCCTAACACTTTCCTTCAATTTTATTTCTATAGCTAGCGTCACCATCTTTATAACTAAGCAGACATTGTTACTTTGTTTCAATCAATGAAAATAAGACAACATGATCCCAGGTATCAGAAAAATTCTGACTACAAAGTCTGCACATAATCCACTGGGAGTTCCATCCCAAACTATGACAAGTAAACAAAATGTTCAGACGTGCCGGTTCTGAACCACTCCAACTGAATGTTGCACTCACCTTTTCTTCCTCGGTAGGCAGACACATTTCCATAAGAAGATGCACAACGGATGCCTCGTGGGCATGTATAAGAGTAGTGTAATACCGATTACACTGTTCATCTGTGGCCAACATCTCAGATGGATTCTGTAGATGCGATTGTTGAGCAACAGGCAATGGCGGGACCGATGCTCCACTCTGATCCATGGAAATGGGTTCCAGTGTAGGTCGACCATTAGAACCCTTCTGCTGGTGTTGCTTTTCGACTTTCCCAGTTAATTGCATTTTGGAGGTAGGGAGAAGAAAGCTGCGACCAACAACACGCGACTCCCAGTGATATCGACACGCTTGGAGTCGACATTCAAGAATGCGAATCAGAAGAGTCATCAAAGGTGGCGATCTATGCAGGAAAATAAACACGATTAATTCCCATTCCAAATAATGCCACCACGTTTATATCAATCTAACCAACCTGTAAACTCGACGGTCAATAGCTGTTATAATGTTTTCAACAGGATCCATCAAGAGATCGCGATGCGTCAGTAAAGTGTTCGAGTCTTTTTTAGGACGAAGGGCCTTAACGGTCAACACCTCCAGCCTTGAATTAGAATGGAAGAAAAGCTTAGTGGGGTTGCAAAAATGATAACTAATATATCCACTAAATTGCTCTAGTTATTTAATTTAAACCACGCAGTCTATGTTTAGGTTTCTTTTTATTAACAGCAAGATAGTAGTCTCGGTTGTGTTCTCCTGGTGCAAGTGTCCAAATCCTCGTGCCTTGACAAAGTTCGAGGAACAGTAACTTAGCTAGTTTCGTAATCTTGTTCCAATAACCCCTCAAGTCCCAGTTATCTTTAGAGGGATTCAACCCTAAACTTATAGGGTATCGCATATAATCAGCATATAAAATGAAAAAAATTGTTGTAATTAGCCGAGATGCGTCTTTCTCCTAAAGTCAAGATTAAAATAAAGTAGAAACCAACAAATTGGCATAAAACGAATATTCAAGGGATGTAGAAGCCTGCATTAAAGAGGGTTAGGGTCGATTTGGTCCATACACTAATTATTTGTTATAAAAGAAAACCCTCCAGCGTTCTCCTTAGTTAATAAAACCAGCTCTCATACTGGTTCATCTCATACTAAATGGATCTTAAGGCAGAGGAGATGCCAACACCCAAAATCGACTAGAACTGTTAAAGTAAGAAAAGTGATTCATGAACACAACCAATTTACTCTGAGCCTAACATTCAGATTTAACCAATAAATCTAAGCTTCGTCAATGAGGGAGAGAGGACAAGGAGTACCACCATTCTGAATTTCCAGGACTGTGTAGTAATATCGGAATTGGTCTGTAAAATGAATCTTGATGGATCATTTTGATCAAGTAGACTTTGAGAAATCTTAGGAATATGAGGAAGGTAGAAAATTCAAGCCAAATCCTAACTGATCATCTTGACTATAAATTGACATTCCAAGCCCACATTTCATCAATTTTGCAAGGATCAATAATCGACTAGAAAGGAATAGTCGATTAGCACATATCCCAAAGGTCGTTATTAACCTACCTCAAGCGCAGTAATGGTAGAATAATCAAAATGAAAGATACCTGATTGGAATAATGCAGTGGAGGCTACGCCAAAGAGCACAAGCAGTGTTTACAAAGCGTCGATTTCCAGAGAGAGCATCGCATTCAAGAAAAGCACGAGGCAGGGCACATCCGATCACCTCCATGTAGGGAAGCAGGCAGTGTAACCTCTCAAAACCTGTCCTGTTGTTAGCCCACCGGGCGAGCTCGTTCACTCCCACGATGCATTCCCCAACAGCGCATTGTAGATCTTTTGATGAGGTATTATGGGCAAGAATTCGTTCAAAAACTAAGGAATAAGAATATAACCGAGATTTTACTAGTTATAATGAAATAAATAACTAGTAAGTTTACATTTTGGCAGCTTAGCCACATGCCACAACCCAGGACGGAATAAATATCACATTCTAACCCAGTCAAATTGATACATTTAAGCGATCCGAAATTCCACTCCAATATTTCAAACAGACTTCTTCTCAATGCTGTAGCAAGAGTGTTACACTCCAGAAATGGTTCATTTACTAGGTCAGGTGTGTAACTCTCACTTTCCTATTATCGGGGCCAAATCACTTTCAAGCATCGACATTATCTATGAAAAAATCGAATAGCAACTTCATATTGCCAATCTTTTCTACTCGCTGGGAGTGCCCAAAGCAAGAGCAACTAACTTGGTGCTTCCACGCTTGGAATTTGGTGAGTTATTTCAACCACAGACAAGCCTGCGGAATAATTCGAAAGACAATACACACCGAGAAGTTATTGCTAATAGATTTGGACAGTGGGATTTGGATTTTTCTGCCGTAGACTTCAAATCGACCTCTCTCCCCCTCTCCCTCTATTTCAAATCGAGTTATTAGAAGAAATTGTAGTTTCACGCATAGATGTTCAGGAGATTGGCAATAAGAACTTTAGCTTTTAAAATAGAGAACTTTGTAAGTCCTTATATACTTCAACAAACAAAAATTAAAGAATCGTAGAATATATAAACGTTCAATAAATATTAACAAGAAATAAAAACGATCAAATGTGACTGGTTGAGACCAAAACAGAAAGCAGGTAGTAGGCAGCGAACAATGTGATAATAGAAACATGCTTATACTTTCTCGTGCCGAATTAAAATATATCCTTCAAATAATTGTTGTTCACAACCAGCATCCTTGGCAGAATGGTGTGCCGACTGCCGATTCTGAATTACCATTCCAATGTCCATTTTATCTTGGCGTCATTAAAAGTGTGCACATTCACAATCTGGCTGAAGATAACGCATTACTAACGCTACACTCTGTTTACATTTTGAGCAAACTAATCAGACCAGATTAATCAAATGACAGCATTACAAGACCTAGTACACCAGTTACCGCCCAAATCAAACATCAACTTTTGAAACGTTTTCACTAATTAGTTCAATAACAAATACAAAGGCGATCAAGCAAATAGAACCAATTAGCTGACGCTATGCATAGTAGATTACAAATAATAGGCGATACGAACTCATAATAATTTCCGAAATTAATATGCTACAGAAATTGGCATTCTAGTTAGAGTGGACAGCATACCGAATATACACTGATGGCAATGAAACAAAGACTCCGATTTCCTGAAACGTTTTAAATCAACGCATTTTTGAATTTCAACTTAGACACAGCATAAGCGTTCAGAAAAGAGGGTTGTAGCAGGAACAAATCAAATAGAACCTTTCTCCGATGCAATTAACACGTTTACAGCCAAAAAGGGGTGGCATAGTTTATGAAGGCCTTAATCAGGAGAGAATTCCAGACCTCAAGGTACAACGAACTCAAAGCTCGAACAAAGGAGAAACAGTGGACAGTGGCACTCTCCGACATACCCGACTGGCCAAGAATCGAAGCCGTTGCTGAGTTTAGACTACTTACCGGACACGATTGCTTGGCAAAACACCTTCACAGATTGGGAGTATACACTCAATCCACATGCCCTCTATGTAACCTACATGAGGAAATGGAGAAGACCCACCTGATTCGGTGTCCAGCTCTAAAGACAAGGACGGAAAGCCAAAGATACTGGGAAGCAAGAAGACTGCTAATGAACTGCTATTAATTAACTGCTATAAATGTACCCCCTCCCCCTCTTGGGGGAAGCTGAAGTCAAAGATAAGGGCTAATGATAAATATCATAAAGCCTGCCATTTGAAATAATAATAAAAAAAATAAAAGTTTATGAAAGCTCTAATAACTCTGTAGTCCTGTTTAACCAATGGGAGATTTGTGCACAATGAGGAGGATGGTGGAAACAACCCATAAATTCAAAGCTGATCAGAAAAATAAAAAGGTTTGAAGAGAATGTGAATCGACACAATTCAAAATACTCACTCCTCTATGCTTGGAAATTGGCAGGATTAAAAAGAATGGTAAATAGGTAGAATCCTCATTCAGAATTTTATAACCAGAAAGACAATATTCCAAAACAAAGATATATCAAATTTTAGTTAAAATCAAGGGAAAAAATGCTAACCAAACCGCAACCAGTACTTAGTATTTTATTCAATTAATATAAAGAGCCTAATGGTCCAACATAATTTCCCAAAAGGAAAGAAGACATAATATACACTTTCCTCAGGAAAAAATGCTTACTAATCTTTGTAATAACAAAAATTGGTCAAATTATGAGCCTATTTGAATAGCTCTGGAGAATACCAAAATAGAGCTTTTTCTCTGACCTCGATCAACACATTTAGATTACACTTGTGCATTGTTGTAGTTAAAAGTCATGACATATAAACACTAACAAAGGCACAGGAAAAGCCCGCTTAGAAGGCATGACTGTCACACCTCTCTCTCTCTCTCTAGGCGCTTAAAACCACCAAACGCATAAATCACAAACTCACAAAGGCATCGTGCTTCAAAAGGCTGTGACAAACACATGATAGAGAGAGACTACTTCGGAGGGGGGAGGGGGGGGGGGTACTTTTGTTCAGTGGACTCACTTGAAAGGAGTTGCTCCGGTGTTGAAGGTTTCATGGCTGATGAAGTAACAAGTCTAGAAAGGTAGGAAACTTTAAAGGATAGCATTGATGAGACCGTGGAGTGGAGTCGCAATGATCCAAGAAGTAATTCGTCCTGTACAATCGTCTCACGAATCACCAAGAAAGGTCTGTAGTTAGTTACCAACCTGAAGGAAAATAAAAGACATTAGATGAGCAGGGAGACAAAGCATTTCTGAATAGCATACAAAGAGTGAACTTACTGCAAAAGACGAGGATAAAATTCCTTATAAGAGTTGAAATGGGCACGGGCATATTGAAGGAGGTAGGTTATTGGAATGGCATCCCAAAGTTTGTCAGAAAACCGAGTCAAAGATGCTCTTGGAGTTCCTACAACGCCGAAATAAGCCTACTAAAGATTTAATATTGAAATGAGCTAAATGTGCGACTGATACCACTGCTATTTAAAGGGAAATATGTTGATAGAAAAAATAAGCATAAGGTGCCCATAGCTGCCCACCCAGTGAATGGAAGAAATGGAGTTTGACACTACTTCTCAAGACGAGTAAAAGAAAGCGTTTTCCAAAATGGGCTTTAGAGTTATGACCAACATGAGGTTAAAATTAGCTCATATCTTAAAATTACGATAGGTGCAGGTCACATTGAACTCACTGTACTTACACGTAGAGTTGAACAATTTTGAGCATTTTTAAAATCCTATAATAATAGTGCCCATAGCCAAATTTAAATGGGGAACAGTCAGTATGTGGATCAGGAAGTTATCAAAACTAATTAGTTCAGTGGTTTAAATGAATGGAAAGACGACATGTTAGAAGCAAGGTTTTAATAACTACAGCTATGCATTGACCACAGCTAAAACTCCTCGTTGAAATAGTTAATTTCAAACGATTGAATATTGGTAGGAAGAAATATAGCTCAAAGGAACACAAAGAGTTAAAAGTGAAAGTAATACCAAATTAAATCACGAAGAATAGAGGCTCTAAGGAACCATTTTACAAATTTATGCAAGTTCATTTAATCAACTTTTTTTGCAGTAGCAACCGACACTCTAATCAACCTATGATGAACACATATAAGCACAATCAATGAGGAATTATAGAAATTCCCATTCTAAGTGTCACCTGTTACGGAGAGTTGGCATACATTTTAAATAGCATTTAGTGTGGAGAATACTTGAATCGTCAATATAAGTGAATCAAATAAACTGGCATGGCCAATGCTACGATTTTAAAGGGGACTAGTAGTTGCCACTTACTTTGATTTTTCGCATCATCTCGGAACTTATTCATTAGCTCCTGATCATAGATGAATAGCATATAGTAGAGAAAGAGCAATTGTGGAGTGAGATCCACTTCATCTACATCACTCAACTCGGTCACGAACTCGGTAGCTCCAGGCGCACAAGCCCGAGCAAGTGGACCGAAAACTGGCGCCGAAAACAGTACCAAAATTTCCTCTTCCGAAAACAGCACACAGCCTCCACTTCCTGAGCTGCTCAAGTTCGCCATTCCAGGTGCAGTGTTTGGAGCATTCGCTTGATTCAGTGCGTTAGTGGCATAACTCTCAAGCAGCTCCAGCATCAATCCGTGCAACGGTCGAACACATTCACATATCTGCCTATACACCCACCCCTTGATATGAACTCGGTTCTTATTGAATGCATGCGTCGTTAGGAGTTCGTTGACACAATGGATGGGCAGATTACTTTTCATATTTGCATTCAGACGAACTGTAACGGGCACATTAGCCGCCTGAGTGGTAATAAACTAGAAAAAAACTAGAGTAGGTAAATATGAAATAGCACATCTACTGATGTCATTTAAATAGACATACCTGATTTGTGAAAACCCGGTGAGTGAAGAACTTGCGTGAGGTGGAGACATTACGCAAAATACATGGGGCATCAATTCCAATGGTACTGACAATAAGTTGTCGAATAGCACTGTTTTGGTTGGTGCTAAAAAGAAGACCGAGGAGAAGAAGGACCTCAGAGTAGGAAGGAGAGTCTGAATCGCCCGAATGAAACATATCTTGCTGAGAAATCAAACTCTGCAACCAGGAAATTAGTTGTTCTTCTGAGTTCATGTCAGCGATTCCAGATGAAACTCTAAGAGGGGAATGAAAAGTTTTTGGAAAAGTGGGCCACTTACTCAACTAGGCTGTGACGGAAGCCGACCATGAAAGATAAGCAGAAACAGATGTAGTGAACGGCCTTTTCACTCTTTCCTGTATTTCGCGTAATTAATTTACGCGTGGCAGAACGCAGTTTTGCGGATAACCTGAAGAAATAATAAATCGCAATGTCATAGGAGCTCAGGTAACAATAGGGTAAATTAACTCTTACAACGCGTCAACTGTGTGCTCGGAAAATGCATTTGAAAGTTCCAGCAGAAACCAAAACTGTTAAAATATCAAAACTTAATTCATCCATTTCAAAATTCTAAATCCAATAACAACTCTACCCCAAACGGTGAACTACAGTTTTATTACTTCCGACTTAAAATTTGACTCTTTCACTAGGCCAGCTTTGACAATATCCCCCCC